TAAGAATCCCTATGTTTGAGCTGGAAGATTCTTTGTACCTTCATCTTGTAACATTGTGAAATAGATGAGAACAGTTCAACTTTACACAGTGGTGGTGAGAGATGAGAACTGTATACCCTAATTGAATCATGACTTGATTCTAAGGGTACTCAATATCATCTTGGGAAATATGAAGCAAATTTAGGTACAAATAAACTTCTATCCAGGCAAGAAAGGTAGATAATAAAAAAAATTCATTTAAAATCTTATTTCCAAAGTTTTTCCTGGAAAAGGATACTTAATCAGGCCTTACATAGGAGTATACATGTGAGGAGACTTTTCATGATATCAAGAGCTTAGAGGGGTCTGAGTACAGAGTGGCCCACACTGTCCCTGTGGGATGGATCTTGTTCTGTTGAAAAGGCACGTTGGTGTTATCTACAAGCTAGACAGTCTGAAAGAGGAGACAGGTTTTCTGTTGGGTACTTGTAGTCTTAGTGACTTGGGAGAGAGTTTTGGTTGGGGGCAAGTACAGTAAACATTTAACTCATAGAGAGTTTCTTCTTTAACGTTCCTAAAGATGCCCAACCCCTCATTTTCCTAAGAGCTTGTTATAAAGAGCAGCTAACATTTCCCATATTAGCTCTTTCAGTTATGCAAATACATATCTTAGACATTTTTTCCTGTAGAATGCCTCTAAAATGACTGGGTAAGCCTCTATTAAAAGAGATCTGTATCAGGTAAAGAACAGTTCTGAACAGCTCATGATGCTTGTTAATCTCAGGAGCTCTGTGGAAACCATTCTAGGTTTTTATATGTGACTTCCTTTTTCTTTCTGTTTGCAACCTCTTTCCACAATCCTCAGAATTCAGCTCATGCCACCCCTGGTGAGAATCAAGCACATCAAAGGCAATTTCTTCTGTGCTTGTCTTGTTAATTCTAACTCCCCTTGCTGCTAAAGTCTACTTCTGCTGAGCTGCTTTGAAATCTATTTTGTTGCTCCAATCAACTATTTCTTTAGGATATTTTTTGGCCTTAAATATCTGTTATTATCATGTTTCTGTCATTTGCATGCATTATTAAAATGTTTGGCAATATTTTCATTCATATTTATGAATGAAGTAGTATAAAAGCTGGCAGAGGGTGTCTGTAAGGCCTTTCATATATATATGTATGTATGTATATGTGTGTATGTATATATGTTTCTGCTTTTTATTTCTCCTCTTTCAGTTTATTCCCAGAGGTCCTAACAGAATCCCACATGTGTATGTTTTTGTTCGTTCATTCATTCATTCATTCATTCATTCATTCATTCATTTGTTCATTTGTTCATTTATTCATTCATTCTTCATTGCTGTGTAGCCCAGGTCAGTCTAGAAATTTCTATTCAGCCTGGTGATCTGCTTTAATTATAAGGTTCTTTATTTTTTAATGACAGAGTTCAGTTAGGTAAACTCATCTGAAATAGCCCATTAACTGACCACTCATATGACTGGGTTTTATCATGCAGGTGGGGACAACATGCAAATTAGCCCATAGGGCTTCCTTGGAAGAGTGAGTGAGCTTCTTTTATTTCCGAAAAACATTTTGGGGTTTGGTTTAAAAGACTTGTCTACATAGCTTTGTATGTACATACTTTGTACACACAAGGTGTGGCTGATGAGTGGAGTGTCTATTCAAATTCTCAGAATCCGTACAGCCTCCCCCTCATGTTCTAAGAGCTTCTCCTAAAGGTCAGCTAGCACCTTCTGACTCAGCTGTTTCACTAATGCAAAAACAAAGCCTATTAGAAAATTCTTCTTATAGGATATCTCAAAAACAACCATGTAAGGCAATATAAAAAGGGCTCCTCACCCTGTGAAAAAAAGCTCTGAGGAGCTTCGAAGGTGTCTTCTCAGTGGTGAGTCCCAGGTCTTCTGACTGACTGGAGACTGTTCTGCTCTGGTCTGGACTCTTTTCTGCTGAGTAAATTCTCTCTGAGCTATAACTCCTCCCATACAGTGCTATTGTACAGTGATTATTTTGCATGGGTGACATCCCTGAAAACACAATCTAGGAAATGTCATTTACATAGAACAGCATCCCTTATCAGTGTTTTTACTTTCTGATATTTCAGTTATCCACAGTTAACTATGATCTGAAAGTAGCAATTGGAAGACCCCAGAATTAAATACTTCTTAAGTTTTAAATTGTTCAACATTTAGAGTTGTTTAAGGGAATCTGCTCCATCCACTCAGGAGGCAACTCAGCCCTTTTGTCCAGTGTAATCATCCTTTATATGCTACCTAACACATTAGTCACTTAGGAGAGGGTTCAATTATTACATTGATCCCTGGTGCAACGGTAAGACATCCAGTAGGTCTTAGTTAATAATGAATCCTGAAGTACTAGGGTAGTCAAAAAGAAAACCAAAACAGTGTTTTATTTCTTTGAATAAAGCAATACTCTTAAAGAAAGGAAGAAAAAAATGCCATATGTTGAAGTTGCTAAGTTCTGCAGAATCCCTCATCCATGAAATTGTAAAGGGGGAAAAAGAAATTCATGGCTTTTTTCATGCAAAAGCCATGTCCACAGCGAATACCAAATACTCAGTTAAATTGGAAGTGGCTGTAAATGTGGGTTTGGTTCTTTCTGGAGTTTCACTCATTCACTGGGAGTACTGGGACTAAATGATTATTTAAGTTGTGACTAGGAAGTGGGATCATATAGTGCATGGTCCTGCTCCCATAGCATCTAAATCTGAGCCCCTCTGTTCTGTTTCATCCACCAGTACTCCCCATGTGGCTTTCTGTGACATGTTGAAGTCAGCTGACCCATTCCACTTGCTTTATCACTCCTGCATCATCACCTTTAATATTCTGTTACTTTCCTTTGATAGAGTCTCAGGAGGAAATGGAAATTAAGGCATGGATTGTGTCTTTCAAGTTGAACTGTAAGGATGAAGCCCAGCTGGTAATGGGGATATTGTTATGTCTTGCTATATTGGGTATAATTATAAATAATTTGAATACTATAAAAAACAGCAGAGATTATATGGTAAACGGCTCAGTTAACTTTTTTGTCTCCTTGGATCAAGTTAGCTGGAAAAAAGAAATATCTCTGCTTACCTTATGTCATGTAAATGGGAAGTTAGGTAAAAATTATATAGCTGTTTGGTATTTTAAACCACATTTCATTTAATAACTATTTTATGTAGCTATTTTCATTTTATAAAACATTAGAAAGGAGTTTTAAAATAATTTGATTTCCAATTTCAGTTGATTCTCTACTCTAAAGAATTTAATGCCTTAATGGCAAGCCCATTTAAGAGTCATTGTTCTATTTAAAACAGTTCTATATAGAAATTATGCACTTAGTGATAAGAATTACATGCTGTGTTATTTTGATATGGCAGCCTACTGGGCATATATGGCATAGAGTATAGTGTGTGGGCATGAAGATATTCCCTTTTAAATGATCAATTGATGCTAGATTATTTGAGAAACCAGAGGTATTTATATAAACAATTGTATACTTATGTGTTTGAGATTATGAGTTCAGTGTGCTTTTCAAATGTAATGAAGTCACACAAATCTGTTCTGCTTATTATTTTCGTTTTCAGAGCATTTGGACTAAATGTGTATTCAGCTACTGGTAAGTACTTGGTACTTTGCAGAAAGTTGGTGAAGTCAATATAATTCTACCCTTTGGCTGCTTCATCTTATCAGAGAATTAGAATTAGTGATTATGTCTATAGCAGAGTTCATTTAACTCAAGTGGAAAGAATGGTGAAGGCAAAGCAAAATGCTTATTAGGCAAACTGCTAATAAGCTTCTCTTAATAAAACGAACGAGAGAGAGTGGAAAGAGCTTCAGAAGGATGCATCATTTAGCGCTCGCTGAAGTCTCGTCTTTGTGTTTATAATTGCAGTGTAGGAAGGTTCCACACTGAGCCCTGGGTCAGGAACACTCCATAAGAACAAGGTGAAGTAAGACGTAGTAAAATAGATCTCCACACTGGCACCTCCACAACAAACAACATCTTCAACAAACAACACAGGGAGTCATGTGCAGAGACAATTGGGCTATTTGGTTTTACATGACAGTGTCTAAAGCCAACATCTTTCTCATCTTTTTCTTTAAACCTTAGAACATCTTTGCTTTATGTAACAGCCTAAATGTAGCACATGAATTGCATGACATGTTTCCCCCTCCTTAATAAAGTCTTTTCACATCACATTATAGGGGACAGGTCTTTACAGTAGAGTCTGATACATTTTCAAATACAAACTGTTTTATTTTATGTAAGTGTCCATGAGAAGATTGCTTATACCTTAGAGAACCAAGAGTTAGAAGCAATAATTATCTCATATGATTATTTTGGAAATAAAACCAGATATGATAGATGAATAGAGAGGCTAGTTGGCTATATAGCCAGCCAGCTAGATACAGCTGGGCACCTAATAAACACACAATCAATATTTATGAACTATTCTGTTGAAGAAATATCCATGAACTGAGTTGCTATACAGGCATCTACTGAGATGTTCGTTCTCTACTCATGAATTTTATATGTAGCTCAGCACATACACTGGAAACAAAGGCAGGCTCCATCTTTTCCCCTCTCCTTCTTTCCTTCCCCCAGCACTCTGATGCTGATTGCATGAAGTACTCCATCTGGGTCCGCCACTAATCCACCATATATACTGCCTGTATAGTGCAATGATTACACCACATTTCAAGCACATATGAATATTTGTGTCACTCACATTGAATTCTGTGAAGGAAAGGTGAGATGTTACATCTGAATTTGCAATTCTAGTCCCTGTTCCCAAGGCTGGCACACAGCACAAGCTTCATAAATAATTGTCAGGGTAGGGAAGAGGTATGGATAAGGGAAACAGAGGGGAAGAAAGAGAAGGAGAGGAGAGGAAGAGGAGGAGAGGAATGAGGGAAGGAAGTGTGTGTGGGAGGAGAGAAACAGCTTTCTACAGCCCACATTATATACTTCATTGTAAGAGAAAGCACCATTTATTCTCTTACCCTTCCAGGGAGATGGCCCGTTGGAGAGTCACGGAAGGCTGGCGAGTTGCAGTACTGTGCTGGGAATGACTGTAAGAACAAAGGAAAACAAAGTAAGAAAGGAACATTTATGTAAAATGTCTTTGTACATCTTAATAAGTCTGTCAAGAAAATAACAGATACTGAAATATATAAGAAATTCAGTTGCTAGATATAAGTAGGAATGTATACTCGAGAAAAGGACACTCATCTAGATAAAGGGTAGTGTTCCCTTATTACTGGGGTTCAATATGAATTATTATGGAGTAAGCCTTACATGATGGCTAAATATGACGCATAATATAAAGTATAAATTTAATAAGATGTTTTGTGTTTTTATATTGTCTGAGAATTTCATAAATGCCAGAGGCAGTGGATGTCTACAGTGAAACGATATTTACCTGACATGACAGGGCCATTGCACACATCAACTCACAGTGACTGTGACTGCATGCACAAGACCTGCACCAGATCATGCCAGGCCAAATCTTAGCATGAAGGAGCAAGGGCTCATGAAGTTCCATCCTAGCTGAGAAGCTATTGACAACTCATGGCTGCTAGGTAAAGAACATCATTCCCCCCCACATCCCCCCCAGGAATTTGGCTCCTGAAAGGCTAGCCATGCATGACTCATGCATTTCTAGGCAGCATTAACTGAACTCAGGAGATTAAGAAATGTATCTTTTAAGCTGGATAATTAAAAAAAAATGTACAAAGACCAATCTACAAGTGACAATAGTTGATTAGTTCAACTATGCAACATTTATTGGTAAAATTAATCAGTCATTACTGATTACATTGCATTCAGGTGCTTGATAAATATTGAAACTGTTGAATATCAATCTTGAAATTTGATGTGATTCATTATTTTGTTTTGATTTCATATAGCAAGACTGATTTTGTATGTAAGTAGTTGAAATCAACATAATAATTAGCACCAATGATCATTTATATCAGCAAATATCTTTCAAAATGTTTTATATGTTTCTATCCTTTGTTTCCACTAAGTCTACGAGTTGGATTCTGTTTAATAGGTAGAAAAATTGAGGGGAAAAGAGGTTTAGAGCTTGCTCAAGGTCATCTAATCAGCATCTGTGCCTGAATTGCTATCCAGGCCGATTCTAAAGACGCTTCAATTAGAGAGATGGAGAACCTTTTATCTGAAGAAGGTAGAACAGTAATCCAACAGCAAAACTGGATCTGAAAGGATGTCATCTTTACTAACGTGTGCTCCTCCCATTCTTACCAACTTCTTACACATCCATATGCATTTTATATAATTTTATACATATACAGAATACACACACACACACACACACACACACAAACACACACAGACTTACTTTCATAATATAACAGAAGCATTTTTGGCAATATCTATTATTTTAGTTCAATATAATGTTATTTACTATTCATATATATTCAGTTGTTTTTGTAGTTGAATCAGTAGAACATTTCTATTATTTTAATAATATAAACAGTGCTGCAATAACCATACTGATGATGGTTACTTTTTTCTTATGTTATGACTTATTTTAGATGAATTATTTTAAATTACTTTGTTATTCTTCATTTATGTTATCATGTACTCTCTAGAACATATATAGTGTTTCCCTCTATAATACACACATACATACATATATACATATGTTTACTAACTGCTCTTAGTGCTACTCATATGTACATATGTTTAAGGATGACCTTTAGGAATTTGACAACCTATTAGTGGCTCATCCCTGGATATGTCTGTAAAAGTTTCACCCCAATCTTAGAATCACTGAGTTTATAATTTAAAAAATTAAATTAATTTATCTAGACGTGCACATTTGTGTGCATGCATGTGTGTATGTGTGATAGAGATAGGTAGAGATTGAGATAGGTAGACAGACAGACAGACAGACAGACAGATAGATAGATACAGATACAGATACATATACAGATATAAATAGAGGCAGCTCATACATGGAGATTAAGGAACAACCTGGGATTGGTTCTCTCCTTCCACTATGTGAATTCTAGGAGTTTGAACTCTAGTTCCACTGAGCCTTCTTGCCAGCCCCCAACTTCATGAGTTTAATATATAAAAATTTAATAGATGAAAAATGACACTTGGAGTTACCATGAACATTTTTTAATTCATGAGACTGCCAGATACCACCAAGTAGATATCATCTCCTCCATGACTGGCCACACACAGTACGTATTCTTATAACAAAGAAATCATAAGTAACTGCAGATTTGCCTAGAATTTTTCCTATGTGTTTATTTGTAGTTTTCTTTCCTTTATGGCAACAATACAATCCTTTATATTTATCTTCCAGTTGATTAGAAAGTACCAATAGTTCTTGGGTAAAGATCAATATAGCTTACTAATCATGATTAATGGATAATTGGAAGACCTGATAACTTTGCCATTATTGGCCCAGCCCACATAGTTAAAACAAAGAAATACCCAGTAGTTTCACTTTTTACCACTTCTGCATGACCATTATTCTATCCTGAAGCTACACAGTGCTATGTTTACAGTCTTAGTGATATAACACTCACCACGACAGGAAAGTGCTCAGAGAAATGGATTTTTTGACACTACACATGCAATATTAATCAGGCCTTGATAGACTGTAAATGTAAAAAAAATAGATGTTATTTGACATCCAGGACTTTCCAAAATCATGTCTGTGTTCCTCACTTGAGAGCCTAAACAATACAGAAGTGGCTGCTCGCAATCACTGGACTGAGCATGGGGATCCCAATGGAGGAGTTAGGGGAAGGACTGAAGGAGCTGAAAGGGTTTGCAACCCCATGGGAAGATCAACAATATCAACTAACCAGACACCCCAGAGCTCCAGGGACTAAACTGTTAACCAAAGAGTACATATGGAGGGACCATGGCTCCAGCTGCTTATGTAGCAGAGGATTGCCGAATTTGACATCAAGGGGAGCAGAGGCCCTAGATCCTGTGAAGGCTTGATGCCCCAGTGTATGGGAATGCCAGGGTAGGGAAGCAGGAGTGGATGGGTGGGTAGGGGAACACTCTCATAGAAGCAGGGGGGGATGTGATAAGGGGCTGTCAGAGGGGAAACAGGAAAGAGGATAACATTTGAAATGTAAATAAATAAATTATCCAATAAAAATAAATGAAAAAAAAGAAAGATGACTGAACTGTCTTACCCACACTACCTCAATAGAAAGTTCTAGGTACTACAGTGACTTTGAGTGGCAATGGAGGGGAAGGTTGATCATGAGTAAGAAGCCCCCGCCATCTTGCAACATCAGCTTGAGGTATCAGCTCTATTTGTATGGAGGGGCGGTGGTATTAAATATGGTGGCCATGGGATAAATCTTTCTTAGATGTTTTTTTGAATCCACATGCTGGGTAAGTGCTCTGCCACTGTGCTATGCAACCTGCCCTTGTCAATACATTTTAAGATGAAGAGAGATGGCAGCCATCTTGTCTGTCTAAAGCATGCCATCTCAGAACAAGACTGAGCCAGGGCATTCACCATTTTTTATGAATTCTGACTATCCAAATGAGATTCCCAAGCTGTTGCTTAAGAAAATGGCACCTGAATGGTACTATGAAGTGCACTACTATTGCTAGCATTCCATTTTAAAGTATCTGGATTGAAATTATTCTATTATACATGGAACTTTAAAGAACTACCTGGTAGTTATAAGTATCTGATTTTTCCTCTCCAAAGGAGACAATTTTAATATTAGGCAGGATCATTCTAATATTTTATAATATTCAAGTACAGTATTTTATAGAATGTGGAATATTTAGGGCCTCATGTACAGCACTCAAACTGTTCTACTACTGAACTACATCCGCAGAGTCCCATCTCCTCATGTTTTTATATATTGAACAGTATCTCACTAAGTTGCCTTAGTCTTACTAAGACTATCGTGGAAATCATTCTGTGAGCCCACGGAGGCCTCAAGCTAGCGATCTCCTGTCTCAGTCTCCCGAGTTGCTGGAATTCCAGGCCTGTGCCACCAGGCCCAGCACACAACATAATTTCTGTCATTAGTGAAATAGTAACAATAATCATAACCTGTTTGCAATGTTTCATTCATCATTATAATTCCTCCTGATGTATATTCAATATTGTTGATTTCTTCACTTACATTTCCAAAGAACTTTCATCTTCATTGTCATAGTTAACTGCATATATTCGATGTCTTAATATTTTCCTTATTTTCTACTTTCTTTTCTCTGTGTTTGTGTGCATGTATTAAGTTGTAAAATATCTTTAGTAAGACTTCAACTAGTATTTCAGATAAACTTAATGAAAACATCACCCTTTTATTTTACAAAATTGGGTATTCGTCCTTATATTCTTCTATTGACACTTAACAAGTATTTTCCTGAACAACTATCTATTGGTTTGGATTATATTTAACAAATGTTAGTTGGGTAGATATTAAATACCAAGATGTATGAGGTGCTTGAGATGACTCTCTGATTTCTCAACATTATAGTTTCAGCAAATATCAGATGACAAAAAGATGATGGCTAAATAAGCTGTTTGCCCATGTCCATAAGGCTAACAGTTCTCAATGAATCCCACAGACCTAAGCTGTACTTAAAACACAGAGTAAGTGACCGAACGTAGAGAGGGGAAATAGTGTTATTCTGAGAATTGAGAAGACCTGGCTTAAGATTAGTCAGGGTCAAAACAGACGGTATGCTCTGGGAAGCTTGACCTTCCTGGCTTGGCAGAGGATGAGAGCAGGAAGGGGATGATGGGGTAGATCACAAGGGCAATACCTGGACAGGTGTTTTAGACTTCACTAGCAATGGGAGGCTCTCAAAGGTGGTAGATGGGGAGGGCCAAGGTGGTGATAGTTATTATCTAGAAAGGTACATGTGTACAATGGAAGCGAGCTGCTGACTGAGAAAACAAAAGGATACCATGATGGGGAGAAATAAGTACTCAAATATGTAGTGGGTGTTAAGAAAAGTGAATGCACTTATTTAACACAATTAAAAGCAAGGGTCTAGAGATGGGCTTGATGGAGTTATGCAGAAGGCAATAAACCTTTAAAAA